AGCGTTGCAACTTCTTACGGGTCTCAGGAACAGGCCAGGAGGCAACGGCTTCTACCTTGGTCGGGTCCATGGATACACTCCCCTGACCGATAATATACCCCAGAAACGCAACTGACGAGGAGTGAAACTCACACTTCTCTGCCTTGACAAAGAGTGAGTTAGCAAGCAAACGCTGTAGGACATTCTGGACATGATGAACATGTTCCTCCTTTGACCTTGAGAAAATCAGGATGTCATCGAGATAAACAAAAACATACTTGTTCAGCATGTCACGGAGGACATCGTTGACCAGAGCCTGGAATACGGCAGGGGCATTGGTAAGACCGAATGGCATGACCAGATACTCGTAATGCCCTGTGGGTGTGTTAAAGGCGGTCTTCCACTTGTCCCCTTCCCGGATCCGGACAAGATGATATGCATTGCGTAAGTCCAGCTTAGTGAATATAACAGCATCCTGCAGAAGTTCAAAAGCTGATGAGATGAGTGGTAGAGGATATCGGTTTTTAACTGTAATATTGTTTAGGCCTCTGTAGTCTATGCAAGGTCTAAGTGTCTTGTCTTTCTTGTCAACAAAAAAGAAACCCGCACCGGCGGGGGACGAAGAGGGACGGATGATTCCAGCAGCCAATGACTCGGTGACATACTTCTCCATAGCTTCTCTCTCAGGTCCAGAGAGGGAGTAAATACGACCACGTGGCGGAGAAGTTCCAGGCAGAAGGTCAATGGCACAGTCATAAGGACGATGTGGAGGAAGTGATGTAGCTTTGGTCTTGCTGAAAACCTCTCTGAGGTCATGGTACTCTTCAGGAACACCTGTCAAGTCTGGTGGAGGACTAGAGTTTTTGGTGGGCAACAGTGGTGGAATGGCTTGGTTGAGACAGATCTGGTGACAAGATGGACTCCAACTAGTAATGGAACCCGTAGACCAGTCAATATGGGGGTTATGACGGAGAAGCCAAGGGAAGCCGAGGATTACTGGGTACTGTGGTGTTTTCAGGATGTGAAACTGGATGGTTTCATGGTGGTTGCCAGCCAGTAATAGACGAACAGGAACAGTGCGATGAGTTATGGAACCCAAAAGTCTGCCATCCAGAGCATTAGCAGGTACAGGAGTCGGAAGGGGAACAAGTTTAATCTTTAACTGCTGAGCCAGATTCTTGTCTATAAGACAAATGTCAGACCCTGAGTCAATAAGAGTGGTCACACTGTGAGTACCACTCTTAAGCAACAGACGGGCTTGAATCTGAGGACGTTTTACAGGGGAAGGTGTGAAGGAAAGACTCATCAGTATTCCCCTTTCTACTGATGAGCGTGCCCCCTTTATTGGACACCTGGAAACAAAATGGCCAGGCTTCCCACAATAGAGACAGATTCCCCTGACGGCGGCGAAGCCGCTCTTCAGGAGAAAAACTCGTTCTGCCCACCTGCATGGGCTCAAGACCTCCATCATGCAAAGCTGTAATGTGACTAACTGACTCTAAAGGGGGACATGGACGTGTGATAGGTCGCTGTTCAGGAAGTTTGTGTCTTTTTTCGTGTTGTCGAGCTTGGATGCGGCGATCCAGTTTGGTGGCCAGTTCAACCAAATTATCAAGATCAGAGGGGAGATCAAAAGAAACGAGCTCATCTTTTATATAATCGTTGAGACCCAAAAGGTAGGCGTCAGTTTGAGCCGCAGCGTTCCACTGGCTCTGAAGGGCCCGGGTTCGGAATTCAATTGAATAATCAGCAACAGTATTGGCTCCCTGTCGCAATCCTATTAGACCACCAGCTGCATCGGGTCCAGATGACATGGCACCAAACACTTTACGGAGTTCGTTGGCAAAAGAGTCAAAAGAGGTACAGGCAGCTGTCTGGCGCTCCCATTCTGCGGTTCCCCCAAAGCCGCGCCCTTTCCGTAAGATGATTGATGGCAAATGCCACCTTGGCTTTCTCTGTGGAGAATGTGTGTGGCTGTACGGCAAAGAGAATGGAGCAGTTGATCAAAAATTGATTGCACCCTTCAGGGTCCCCCCCATAATGTTCAGGTGTTCCTACTCTGGGTTCAAAAACTGGTCCAGGTGTGATCAGTTCAACTGAAGGTTGCGGGGCAGGGTTGGGAGGAGTGGGAGTAACTGCAGAGACTAGCTGGGTGACAGTGACTGCCAGCTGCTGGATCTGAGCTGTCAACATGGCAATGTTTTGTTCATTAGTTGCAGCTGACTGACGAGTTGCATTAGCAGCACAAGCTAACTCGGCCTGATATTGCTGCAGGCTTTCTTCAAGTTTGGCAAGCCTCTCCATAGGGATTTCCTCATGTGCTGAGTCCATGCTGGCCAGATTGTACTATCACGCAGGTAAATTGGACTCAAATGCAACACAAGTATACAGGCAACAAACTCTTAGTTAATAACAGAACGTGTCCTCTAACAGGTAATGTATAATGATTACTCAGACTGAAAATATAACAGAGGAATGTATGATATAAAATGTGAACAGAAATATCCTCCAAGACTGGAAATACACTAGTAAGAAATGAACTGGGAGAAAACTCAGGAACAGGGATAACAAACAGGGAAATACACAGAATTGCAGAAGCTGCAAACAGATCAGATTCAGGGGTAATACAGGGGTTTCAGAAATTGGGGTTCAGGTTTTCAGGAGCTTGAGAGTACGTCTTTACAGGTCTACAACCTGGCAAGGTCTGAGGGAGAAGAGGGAGTATATATAGACTGGGCCTGGGCTGATTACGGAATGAGAGGCAGCTGTAGGGAAAGGAGGGAGGTGACAAAAGGAGGACCGGAATAGACTGACAAACGGAGCTGGACTGGGGAAAACAAACAAAAAGGCAGAACTGTGACAGGGGCCCCCAACCAAATGCCCTCAGTTCCACTAAAGGCTTCAATATAACATTAAATGAGAGCAATGTAATGGATATAAACTAACTACTAACTAACTAAACTAACTGGATATAGCCTAACTAATAAGACAAGTTTCCAATCCATCATAATTCAAATGGGGAAAAACAATAATATATATATATATAAAAAAACAATAATATATATATATATATATATATATATATATATATATATATATATATATATATATATATATATATTATTATTATTATTTATTTTTTTTTTTTATAGTGAGGGCCCCAAATTTAAGTTCACCTAGGGCCCTAAACTGCTAACTTTGCCACTGACTATAACTATTACTATTACTATTACTATTACTATTACTATTACTATTACTATTACTATTACTATTGGCATTTGAATTAATCACTGAACAATTGCACCAACTTGAACCAGTTTTTCTGTTATAGGGCCAGTTCTCTCTCTGTGTATTTCGACACTGGCTACCCCAACAGCCTGGAGCATAAACATGTGCGATGGAGGTTATACACAGCAAATCTCAGCGCAGACTTTTCCAAAACCTCCAGGAGTCCCTTTAAGTGGACACCAGCCGGGCCTCTTCAACATTGTGCGTGTGTTCCTTTGTGTTAACTGAACCATCAATCTGGTTGTCATTTCGAGCACTTCAAAGCCACACTGAGTAGGTGAGATAATCAGTCGTTTTGTATACAATTTCCCAATGAGCTTGTTTGTATTCATTGTTGGAGTAGAGCTTGCTTGTAAGTAAGATTTACATACCCATTGTGTGAGTTTAACTGTCTGTGAATTGTGCAAAGTTGGCAAATATTTAGGCCTGTCCAATCAGTTCATTATAAAGGTATTTTTAGTCAAACTGAAAGAAACGAGATAACAATCCGTGTATCATTCATTCATTTTTCAATATAAAACCAAAAATAAGAAAATGAAAAAACAACTGTTTTCTTCATTATTTGTCTCCAAAACCTAAATAAAAAAACAGATAACGATTTTTTATTTTATTTCAGTTTTAAATTTTGTGTTAAAATTAATAATGGAAAAAGACAGACAACAGCAGTTTCCCTTTATCGTGAATTAAATTGCGATTCTGGACTTTTGTGCCGCATAAGGACTGAACCAGGACTAAACCAGGACTGAACCTGGACTGAATCAGGACTAAACCAGGACTGAACCAGGACTGAATCACGACTAAACCATGACTGAACCAGGACTGAATCAGGACTAAACCAGGACTGAACCGTATTCAGCCCTGGTCTGTCCCGGTCTCAACCATAGTCTGGTCCTGGTACGGCCTCAGTCCTAGTCTCAGTCCCGGTCTCAGTCCTGGTCCCGTTCCCAGTCTCAATCCTGGTCTCGGTTCTTGTCTCAGTCCCGGTTTGGTTCCGGTCTGGTCGGACCTGATTCAGTCCTGATTCAGTCTGTATACGACGCAAAAAACACAAAAACACAAAAGACTGGCATCGCAGTTGAAGTCACGAATACGGGAAACCACTGTTACCCATTTTTTGTTTTCTTATTTTTGGTTTTACATTGAAAAACTAATGAACAATTGATACACGGGTTACACATTGACTTTTGTGAGCTTTAAGCCATGTTATAATGTTATTGCCTCATCAAAAACATGCCTGGAGTTGTGTTTTGTTTCATTCACGTTTGAGTAATCATTTATTATTAGTCTGTCTACATCTCCAAAGGTCAAAATGCTCTGTTCCACCTTGTGTGGTCATGAAGCTGTAGTTGTAGCTGTAGCTCAAGTTAACAGCTACCTTTTACCTTTTGTTAAACAGAAATCTGTATTTCCAGGGCTGAAATTATCCAATGAGCATGTCTGGAGCTTAAAAACACAGTGGAAAACTTCTGGTATTATCGCATGATATCACAAGGTGGACAGAACAAAGTGTTTTCTGTTTGAGAGACACAACTCCAGGAATGCTATGATGAGAAAACAATCGGACAAAAAAGAAAATAGTGTAACATAGGTCCATAATTAGAAAATGTATATTGTATGCAGGTTTAGGCACTGGTAACATGGCTCAGTTGTGATCATAGTACCTTTTTTTAAAAATGTAAAAGTGCAGGCAACATACAGTGTCTTTTTATTACAATTTATTTCTCTTTTCTTACCTGTATGAAGCTGAACTCTCTCCAGCTCAGGGTATTACTGACAGACGGCAGAGAGGTGATGCCCAAAACAATGAACAGGGCAAAGCCAAGGATCCCCACGGAGTAGTAAGAGTCAGTGCGCCATGCTAAGATGTTGGAAAACTCTGTAGTCTGGTTTTTTAAGACCTTAAAAAAGAGACAGCTGCTTATTAAAATGTATTATTATATATACACATCTATAGTAAAATGATATTGGCTTACCTGTGATATAATGCCTGCACCAACTCTGTACCTCACGTAATATCTAGGGATAAAAGGAGGATAAGGGATATTTAAAGAATTTGATTAGAATTTGGTGACATTCTGACTTTCTTTTTTGATTCAATGTAAAAATAGAAAATGTATTTTACTACACAGATTTGAATATACAGATCTAAAAAAGCCAGTCAAAATCAATCAGTCAATCAATAAAAACAAAACTAAACAAACAAAATGATAAATAAATATGCTGTAAAGTTAGATAACTCACTATACATCATTTACACTTGATTGCATTTATGTGGGCAGTACTTGAACTGATAAACATGTACTTAAAGGTGCACTGTGTAACTTTTCTGGAGAAGGCCTACATCTTGTTGGTTGCCATGGAGATGTAAATGCTTTGATTTAAATTGTCCACAGTATGGTATTAAACTAATCTGTCTTGCAACTACACGTGTTATTTATTGCTCAAAAATATCTCAAAAAACATCAGTCTCCTCTCCATAAATTCAAACTGTAATTTGTTTTGCAAGTTTCCGTGGAGATTCTTAAATTTATGGCCATACTGTGGAACATTCTAGGCACATCTCCATGGAGCCAAATACAAGGAGTCTAAAGACTTAAACAAACGAAGCAGTCATGGACGTGTAACCTTTCTATTTTACCAAGAACTGGACCATATTTTGGGAGACAAGCCCAGCATTTAGGCAACTTCTGTAAACAGTGAGCACATTCTCTGTGTGTGACGTCGTCTTGTCCTCCAACGCTTTTTGGGGCGTTTAAAGTTCACACTGGAGATCACATACAAGTCACATTTAATTGAAAATGTGAACGACCTCGCAAAAAAATTCTAATTTCATAAAAAAAAAATCCGAATTGAGCATTAAGCCCTGCAGTCTGAACATGGCCCTACATACATTTAACACCATATTGTGTGTCATAGTAGCAGACCCCCCCGGTTACACAGTGCACCTTTAATAAACTAAACTAAATATATTAGGCTATTTACGGATCTATGTTATTATAGAGTTGTGTTTTGATTCATTCACACGTTTAACACACAAACTCTATATATTTACGATGAATTCTTCTCTCAAACATAAAACACTTGCTCATCTGTGTTTTTAAATTCCACACACCTTCACTAGAATCATCTGGATAAATTCAGCCCTGGAATTGCCAGTCTCGACCGGACAAAAGGTAAGAAGCAGCCGTAAACATGAAAACTACCACTACATGACATCACAAGGTGGAACAGAGCATTTTGAGTTTTTGAGATGTAAAGAGACTAATAATAAGGATTACTCAAACTTATGACAATGAAACTCAACACAACTCCACGTATGTTTTTGATGAGGTGTGGGGAAGCTGGCCCAAGTGGTCAAAATGAGAGTCCAGTGCAAAGTTGTCCTTCACCAAACCAAATTCTTTATTGGATCCTTCCAAGTCGTGGGCAAAATTATATACAAATTTACAAAAAAAGAACTGTGCTTAACTAAACAAAAGCAACAGAAAATAACGCAACAAAAGAAAATACCCACAAGCACCTGGCTGCACTGATGGTGACCTACTTATTGATTAAACTGCCTCTACTTATATACCCCCCAGAGAGGAAGTCCCTCCCCCTGGGTTCACACCAGCTTACGGGGAAAACTGTAGCAATTTCCTTTCCTTACTGGTGTGCTGCCTTAAATTATTTTCTGAAGCCTAATCCCCCTTTTAAACTGAACAGTGCTCCAATTTAACTAGATAACACTGAAACCAAAATTCTAATAACCCATTTGATAAAACAAAGAACCATTTCCGAGGCTTCCCTCCACATGGTCTGGGCCAACACCTCCCCCTGAGCCTATAAATATGGCTGCCAAAGGACACGCCCCCTCTTTTGTTCCCAGACCATGTGGAGTCACAGGTAAGGTGGTAAGTTTAAACAAAAATGAAGGGATATAACCAAATAAAATGAATTTAAAGTAACTGTGTGAATGTGATCAATTAAACAAAGACTAAATAAAACAAACCCGGGATAGTTATTATTTAGCTGTTTAGTTGATATAGATAGATGTAACTGAACTAAAGTGAAAAATGGGGACAAAGGCCCTCTTTGTCACATGAGGTAATAACATTATAACATGGCTTAAAGCTCACAAGAGTCATTTTTGTGTAAGGCTATATTTATATGATGACAGTCTGAACAGAAGACGCAAAAGTGGCGTCGTGTCTTCACTTTTTTTTTTTTTTGGGGAGGAAATCTGCATGTATACGATGACGCAAAAGTGTGTGGAAATCGAATGGATATGCTTGTACTTAAAGAATCAAGGGCATCTTTTGACATATGGAGGGTTTGAAGCCACGCATTTTCATCAGCTACTTCTCCAGGTCTCGTCCATAGCCGTCTGACTCGCCTGCATCCAGAATATGATAGAGGTAACTGCAGAACCTTCTCTGTTCACTAATGTTCTCTACATTTGTTGCGATGCCTCCTGTAAGTTTATTAGAGCCGCCATAGCAGCTTGAAGGTCTGACGCATGGAAATGATCCAACATGTTTGTTTCTGTGTACTGTATGTATGTGACGTAAACATGTACGCAAAGTGAATAGATCTGACCAGAGTTTTGCGTCTTGGGCAGTGTAGACGAAAACACTACAGTGGAGCATATTCAACTTTTCCACTATGGAGGGTGGTTTCAGATTTTTGAGTTTTTAAGCCCCAAAAACGTTGTCACCGTCTAAACGAAAGGCACTTCAGATAAAATATTTTGTTGTTTTTACCCGCAAGCGTTCTTGGGTAAACAGGCCTAACATAGGACCTTTAAAAGTGATGTAATGCAACTTCAAACTTATATAATAATTAGTAGTGAAGCTGCACAGACCACAGTTTTTCAGTCACACGTGGAGTTTGTGCACCTGTTACTCACCGGAAGCCAATGATGAGCGTGTAGAGCACATGCAGAGAGGCCAAACCCAGCGCCACCAGTCCCATCTGCTTCCTGCACAGCATCCAGCGGTCCAGCCAGTCCGGGAAGCGTCTGCACAACAGTCACACGCTCATTTGTACCACACTGCGCTGTCCTTCAAACCTCTCCTCTGTCACCGCGAGCCGCCTCACCTGTACTTGGTCCCTCTGTGGAGCTGGAGCAGTGCAGCCATCACACCAGGCAGGTAACACAGGGACAGCATGATGAGAGACACGATGGGGAACACCTGTCAGACAACATCAAGTGACATTCACATTCAAGAGAGAGTTATACCAAGAAACAACACTGTGTCCTTCTCTCATGGCTCACAATGTGTACATGGACATGGCCAGTAAAAATCAGATAACAAGAATAATCAGATAACACAAGAATTTGATTGTTTTTTCCATGAGTTTACATTCACAAAAGAAATCTGATCATCATGTGTCAGTTAAAAATCCCATATTACACAGAATTGACATGTCATTGACAATTGTCATGACAATTGACATTGACAATTGTCATGACAATTGACATTGACAATTGTCATCTTATACATGCTGTTACCTCCTCAAAAACATGCACACAACTCCAGGTATATTATTGAGAAACAACATTATAACATAAATCAGAAAACAGCATACTACACCAGTGAATTTACAGAATAAATGTAAAGTATAACTTGGCAAAGTATAATGTGTTTTAGAATAAATAATTAATCAATCAGTAATAACGTAGTGCAATTAATCGAATTTTGATCGCGATTTCAATTTGTGTGTCAAACGATCTCTAAACTCATATAATTGAGTTGAGATATTGGGATATTTTTAATATAAATAAGTATATGTATTTTATTTTTTAAATATAGAAATTGTAGAAGAGCTGGATATATAGTTTATTTTGGATATATTGATGTTTTTCTACGCCTTATTTAATGTTCAAAATATATTTTATTCATTTTATGTTTTAAACATTGCAAAACTGCTCTAAGGTACATGTTTGTAGTCTATATTTATTTTCAATTTGAAAGTTCAGCAAAAAATTATCAATATCAAAATGTTATTTTTTTGTTTTGTTTTGGGTTTTTTTGAGAGAGAGATAAATGCTGAATAAATGCATCCTGTAACTAAAAAAGAATTGTTTGAATAATTGTGATTTCAGTAATGACCAAAATAATCATGATGACTTTTTCCATAATAAAGCAACCCTGATCAATGATCAATCAATCAAATAATTCTCTGTCTTTTCCACATTAGTTAGCTGTACAGTAACCTTCCTGTTGTTTTAATTTTAAACTGAGAAAACTTGGTACTGCTGATGTTATATTAATGTTTGGAACATCACTGTTCATGGTAACTCAAGTGCCTCAAACAGCAGCAGATGTTTTTACCTTATTTGCCAGAGAGACCATGATCCTGAATGACGTGTCTTTCCCGTCCTCCACGTAGGAGTAGATGATGTCTCTGATGAGCAGGTAGATGAAGAAGACAGCGCTGAGGCCCACAGCGATGCTCAGAGGCAGCCTCCACTCTGGGAAGAGCTGCAGCGGGAAGTCCTCCAGCTCCTGGGATGCACCCACACCGCCCCTGTCCACCACCCAAAGGCCCAGACGGGTGCACACCTCCGATACAGCCTGCTTCGCCTCGGCACTGTCCCCGCATATGAACGTCTGCAAGTGAGAGAAATGTCTCAGTACTTTGCCCTGACATCACTCTGGTGGTGTTCCGAATGAATGTCTATGATGGAATGTTCAGCAGTTACCGTGGTGACACAATGCACACATTAGTAAACAATGCAAAAATGTTAGATAATCTGAAAAAAACTCAAGAAAGAAAAACAAAACAGATTTAAACAACAAGTTTTCAGAAACCTGTGATCAATACGAGTGATTTGTGCATGTGTGAGAGACTTTTTAACAGCTCAAATCATCTCACCTGTTGCAGTCTCAACTAAGTCAGCTCTTTCTGATCAGATCATGTTAAAGAAAAGCTCGGTTTTAAGTCTAACTAACTTTCAGTGTGAGCAGTGCGTACAGTTAGCATCACACGCCCTAGAGAATACTGATGCCATCTGCAAAGTATCAATGCAGTTATGTTCTATTTTGAATTTGTACATTTGTCTTCTATAAAAGAATGAGAACTTTGCACATTAATTACTGGAGACGGGTGTATTGGAAGAGAGAAACAGCCCGAAAACATAGAGAAAAATCCCGCACACCATCTTACTTGCAAATTATAAGATTTATTAGGACAAACCAAGCAACGTTTCGGCACTAGGCCTTCATCAGACAAACCTGTTTCCCTGATGACGGCCTTGCACAGTTTGTCCTAATAAATCTCACAATTTGCAAATAAGACAGTGTGCGGGATTTATCTCTACATTTGTCTTCTGCATTTGACCCATTCTTCTGTGACGATGAGGGAGTCGTCATGACAGAGCAGTACCTGAGGAGACCCATTATTAAAGCTGGGGCGGGTTTTGTTTCTGTAGAGTGTGCCTCATCTGTATTATCAAGTATTTTATAGACCACAAACTCAGATAAATTTGACAGAGTTGTGTTTGTGGTGGCTAAAAGGTGTGTGAGAGCAAGGGGCAGGTTAGAGTTGCATCTGACAGACTGTTCTGGCAAGTTTGCACAGTAATATGGCATTAAACATCTCCCTGGAGACAAGACGGTGCCACCACTAGCCCAAGTGCTCATAGTAAGTTTTTTTTTTTTTTTTTTTTTTTTTTCAAGGTATTTTTGAATAAACATTTAATTAAAAAGAGATTTAATACGATACTGTGACCCAAAACATTCCAGAAAAGCTTCTTAGTGGACTCTAACCTTAAAGGTGCACTGTGTAACTTTTCTGGAGATGGTCCGTAACCTGTCTCCTTAGAGATATTAATGCTTTGCTTTCAATTATCCACAGTACAGTATTAAATAGGAATGTAACAATATCCAAATCTCTCAATACGATATTATCACGATGTGTATCTCATGGTGCACTATTTATTGCAATAGGACAAGAATTGTAAAAAAGAATTCAAGTAAAAAACATATAACTTTATATTGTCTGCAATGTCTGAAATGAATCATGGGCAGTGTTGGGAAGGTTACTTCTAAAATGTATTCCCCTACAGATTACAGATTACAGACCCCAAAATGTAGTTTGTAATGTAATCCATTAAGTTATTTAAAGTGAGTAATGTAATCTGAATAATCTGGATTACTTGATTTGCTGTAGAGAAGCAAAGACTAGGACATCATAACATAAGGTGTTTTGTCTGCTAAAAGAAAATAAAAAGCCCAGACTTTACTTAACCATATAAAAAATATTATTGATAGAAGAAGAGGAGACCTGTTAAATCCTGTTTTAGACCTGGTTTAGTCCTGGTTTAGTCCTGGTTTTAGACCTGGTTTTAGAGGGGGAAAGATATAGCCAATTACCACTCACTGAAACAGTAACTGTAACTGAATACAGTTACTCATAATTTGTACTCTGATTACATAACTCCGGTACATGTAATCCGTTACTCCTCAACACTGATCATGGGATATGTAGTTCCCGATGTTTATAAACTGTTGCTACTATAAAACCATGCATTTAAGCAAAGTAACTTGTCATTCAATATATTGTGACAGCCCACGATATTATTGTGAGACTTTTGAACGATACGATATCACGATATTTTGGTTATTGTTACATCACAAATATTAAACTAATACAAAATCAACTACAGGTATTATTTGCTCAAAAATATCGCAAAAAGCATCCATCCTACTGTGAGTGGGATCGCTTCTCCACAAATCTAACTTGTAATTTAGCTTGTGAGTCTCCATGGAGATTGTTAAGTTTGTGGTCATACTGTGGAACATTCTAGACGCATCTCCGTGGATCAAGCAGGTGACAGACTCTCCACCAGACAAGTTACACAGTGCACCTTTAAGTCAGTAATACTTAGTTAAATATTTTATTGTGTATATCTATTGCTAGCAACTAAATGCTATCCAGTATGCGTTATTTTTGTTTGGCGGTGTGTTTTATTTGATTTTTTAACCATTTCACAGAACTTTTTACAATGACAACAATAAAAACATAGTCTGGACTCTTGAGAATTGGAGAGATTTACACATTCACAGGTCTATACCACTTTTGTTACGTCCATGTAACTCAGATAACCGCTCTGTCATCTAAAACACGCCTCACCACAGACACATGTAGCGCTCCTGTGTGGTTTCGATCTCCTCTGGGACTGTACCACAGCGATCAAACCCAAAACCAAAATTTAAAAAGTAGTCTGCGGCTCCACACAGCAGACAGAAAGCACAGACGAAACTACATCAAGAGCAGCAGTGGAGTTAATTGATTTAAGGCGAGTATACAGAGACGGCATTCACTGCAAAAACATAAGGCTGCACAAGGCTTCATTTTGGCTAAATGACTCAGACTGGATTTGATCATGACTTCAGTTAGGGTATTAATGTAATCTGGACCGTTATATTTTCTATTCATTTTGTGTTGGGCTGCACCCCACTGTGTAAACACATCAGAGCATTGTGAGAAGCTTGTAGTTCTCAGACAAAGGCCCACACTAAGCCACCGAGAGAGGGAGAGCGAATATTCATAATTAGGAAATGTACAACTGCTAGAATAGTTTTTATTTAAATTTTTGCTGTTTTCCAGATGGTGAGTTTAAATGCCAGTAAATGTCTTTTTGAATAACATTTCAGAAAATAGTGCTGGGAAATGATTTTGTGGTAAGGAAATTCAGACTCTGTGGTTACATTTAGGGTTAAAAAATGCCAAATTTTTCATCAATAAAAATAAAAATCTGCTGGTTGCTATGGTGAAATGTCACTGTGAGTTCTGCAATTTCTAACAGCCAAAATTTCAGATCAAAAACAAAATAAAAAATAATGATGTATGTTAGTTATAATTTAAGGGCCCATATTTCATTATTTTCTGGTTATAATGTTGTTTTCTCATCAAATTATAATGTATTTTGTTTCATTCGCACATGTTTAACACACAAACCCCGCATATTTAGGCTGAATTCCTCTCTCAAACTGAAAACACTCTGGTCCACCTTGTGATGTCATGTGGTAATACATGTGGTAATACCTCACTGTGCTTTTGAACTCCATACACGTACATACACATCTTCACTACAATCTGGATCATTTCAAGTGTGGATTTGCCAATGTCTAGTGAACAAAAAAGTAGCTGTCAACTTGAAAACAACCACTTCATGACATCACAAGGTGGAACAGAGCATTTTGAGTTTGGGAGATGCAGAAGACACAGACAGCCCAATAAAGCAGCGTGTGGATGAAACAAAACACAACTCCAGGTATGTTTTTCATGAGGTAACAACATTATAACATAAACTTACAGCTCACAAGACTTAATTTTGCATAATATGAGACCTTTTATACTAAATATACCAAGTATAGTGTTGTACAGTATTTAAAAGTCCTCATCTCTACTTTCAAGTGATGAAATAAGTGATGTAAATGTACAAAACATGACTTCAAAGTGCAGTCTTCATTATTGGTTAATGTTCAAAATAATTTAATTGACTGGTAGGGCTGTAGATGTTGTGTAATTTAGTCGATTAAACAATTATGAAATGGTGTCAAAATGTGTATTAGTCGATTAAACAAAGAGAACAATAGGGGTGGTGAGGTTAGGGTCAGAGGTGTGAAAACACTCATTATGGGCCTGAATGATTATGCTAATATGTCCCCACTCAGTACAGATGAATAGGCCGAGCTCACAAACAGAAACTGTAAACAAGTAGGGTGTTAGTTTCAGAGTAGTTTGAGTGTAGTTAGCTCCTCCCTGCAGACAGATATAAGATAGTGTCCATGAGCGTCTGACCAGAACTTAAGCAGCTTGGATGAGCTGTGAAATGTTTGTCCAGTTGGTAAATTGAAATTCTCCTTGGCATGGATTCTACCTGGACGACTGAGGGATTCTACACATATTAGTCGACTAATTGTTTTATTTTTGATTATAATACGAATGTGTGAAAAATCCCTCAGTCGTCCAGGTAGAATCCACAGCAAAGAAGAAATTCAATTTGTCAACTGGACAAAAGTTTATTTGGTCCAATACTTTTCACAGCTCATCCAAGCTGTTTCTTCAGTTCTGGTCAGACGCTGGTTCCTTATATCTGTCTGCAGGGAGGAGTTAACTACAATGAAACTACTCTGAAACTAACAACCTCCTTGTTTGCAGTTTCTGTTAGTTAGTTAGTTAGTTAGGCCTATTAAACTTGCACTGAGTGTGGGGTCATACTGTATTAGCCTAACCATTCAGGGTCACAATGGGTTCTTTCATAACTCTGGATCTGACCTGGTTACAGCTATTGTTCTCTTGTTTGTTTTGATTTAGGTTTGAGGATGGAGTTGTAAATAGGATAAAATAACACAAATTAATATGAGAAGAAAGGAGAAGTTAGTCCATGAGTAAGATGGAGAGTTAGTATTCAGTGGGGTACTTATATGTTAAAAAGTCAGATTAAACTCACAATACAAGTTTAATTTGTCTTCATTTAAATACTTTTTTTGCAGGTGCAGGTCTGATCTTGTAAGTGGAGTTTGGGTCAAACACACAGAGTTACATAATAGTTTTGAGAGCTTTGCCACACATCCCTTTTTGGTCAACTAATCAATCGGGAGGACATGTCTTTAGTTGACCAACAGTTTCTTACGTCGACTACAGGCCTATGAGAGCTTATGAGGTATGAGAGCTTTAAAATATTACCTGTCTGTTTGCATCTGAGGGCCCATTCTGCAGACCCCAGGCAGACAGTGTGTTCAAGGCTTTCACCACCGATGCTTCAGGGAGCAGCCTGTAATGCAAAACAACGTCATGCATAATGGGGCTCCATAATGCAATAGAGACCGCATGACATCTGAATTAAGCCATTACACTGGCTAATACTCTAATCACATGGGACCCTTTTACCTCTGCAGATATACAGCGTTGGCCTCTGGGAACATGTCTTTCTCGGGGTTGTTGCTCACATCCACCAGCACCTTCAGGTCAAACAAACATGAAGCAATCAATTAACATGCAACACAAAAGTATAGGGATCATACTTTTTTTTGTCCTTATAGAGTAAAATGTGAGCCAGACTGGTGCCACCTAGTGCCTCCACTCATTTTCATTTCTCCCCAGCGACAAGGTCAGGAATTGGAATACACTAGATCAGGGGTCTCCAACCTGTAGCTCGGGAGCTATCAGTAACTCTCCACCCCCTTCCAAGTAGCTCTGTAGCTCGCCAAGGGATTTCTGAATTCTGTGTATTGTGAATAAAAAGTCAATTTTGATTAATTACCATGTAAATGTATAATTTTGATGCTGAAATTAGTGGACCGATAAATGGATAATGATTTATGTTATATAAGCATCTAACTGTTCCCCACCTAAGGCTCGCCATGGCTCTTACATTTGCTCAGTTTCTTTGCAACTGCTGAAATTGGCAACTCTCTGGCATTTTTGCTTCATGAAGGTAGCTCACTGGAGAAAAAAGGTTGGAGACCCCTGCACTAGACAGTTTACAAAAACCCTGGAAGTGTGAGTCCGGGCACCAGCCAATCAGCGAAGAACCATACATCCTGTGCTGGCAACATTTCCGGAGATTGATTTAAAGCCAGAACAAAGAGAATGTTTGGTGAATTTTATGAAGAGGAAAGACGTTATTGCCCTTCTTCCTATGGGATTTGGGAAAAGCTTAATATTCCAGTTAGTCCCATTAGTGGCGCATTACATACGTCAAGACCAAATAGCAGCGACTGGTTAAAAAACAAAAGTATCCACCTACTGTTTAACAAACAAATCCTAACGCTGCAGGTCAGACATTTTCTATTTCGTAAAACCGACTGGTGAATCAGGTTAGTAAAATGTTGCCCTAAAAATCTACATTAGAATTTATTTATTTTTTCTGTTGTTGATTAATAAAATCATAAACTAGGAATTTTCTTTGGCAATATGCCCCAACATAAAGAAAGCAGTAAAATATATTTTTAAAAGGTATGTATAATTTGAGCAAAATGTGTCTTGCTCCATTACAGAAATACATTTTTAACAGCTCTTGAGGTCAAAATAAGTCCACTGTATGCTGTCTACAGGTAAATAGAAAGAATTTTATTGTCAGATAATCAGGAAGTGCACGTTAGCATTGTCAGCTTTATCATCACGGCAACCTACCTGGAGTTATGATGTGTTTTTTGTGGCTCAAAATGCTCTGTTCCACCTTGTGATGTCATGAAGCAGTAGTTAATAGTAGCGGCAGAAGTTAAAGTTAAAGTTTTTTTTTTTTACCTTTTGGACAGTGGAGATTGCCGATGTGAGGGCTGAAATACACAAAATGTTTGTAGTGATGGTGTATGTATACAGTGAAGCACTTCCTGTATTACCATATGACATCACAAGATGAAATAGAGTGTTTTCAATTTGAGAGAATAACTAAGCCTAAATATGCAGGGGTTGTGTGTTAAACATGTACAAATAAAACCAAAAACATCTCTAACTTTATGTTTTTGATGAGGAAACAACATTATAACATAGACCAGAAACTAATGTACCATATTTTTCGGACTATAAGTTGCACTTTTTTTTTTTCATAGTTTGGGTGGTTCTGCGACTTATATATTAAAATTTTCACACTGACAGCCGAACGAGGCTCTAGGCTCGCGTCTCAGTATCTGCTACTCCTGGACCATTGTCACTTCATGCTCTACTGTGCATGTCTCCTGGAGAAAAAGCCGATGTCCTGCTGCAAGTAGTGACATATTCAGCCGAAAATGGTAATCGAGCAGCAGAAAGAAAGTATGAAGTGAGCAAAAAACTTGTGAGGGACTGGTGGAAAACACAGCTTCACAGCAACTGGGCGGGGGCACCATGTAACTTTCCTGGAAGTCACTGGATGGATCGACAAAGACTGGACTTCAGTGACAATTGAAACCATCCTGTTGGGATTCAGAAAGGCCGGAATAATTCTAAATGAAACTGATGATGAGTCTGACAACAGCTACGCAGAAGAGGAAGCAGTGCTCCATTTACCTCAAGGATCTATAGTTAATCTCCGGATGTCGTGCAGAAGTGACACAGAAAATGAAGAATTCAATGGATTTAGTGATTTGGAGTGAGATGGAGAGTTTGGTAAACATGTTCTGTTATGTTGTTTATGCTATAGTTATCTGAATAACTGTTCATGTGTGACTAACATACCAGAAGTCTATCCAACCTGTTGTTCTCTGTTCTATTGTTATTACTAGAACTTGCTTTTCAAGATGAAATGTCTGTTCCGGGTCTCTGATTTTATAAAATATATTTCCCCAAAAAGTGTGACTTATATATGTTTTTTTTCTACTTTGTTCCGCATTTTTTGGCTGGTGCGAATTATACTCCGGAGCGACCTATAGTCTGGAAAAAATACGGTAATATGGGCCCTTCAAAACATGGTCATCAATCAAAAACATGTGTTTTTTTAAACTCTATGTTGGTCATGTGATCACATACCTTCCCACTGAGCTGAGGAGCCAGAGTCTGCAGGAAGCTGTAGTGTTCTCTGTGAATACAAAGGAAGATGATTCGGGCAGACTGGGCGGCTGCAGCATGGTTCATCACCTGCACACACGTCATACATAAACATACAGACATCAACACATGACAAGGTTAGCAATGAGTACACAATTAATATTATACTGTTGTGATACCAGTGAGCTGTGTGAAGTAGTCAAGAGGGTCCTTCAAAATATACCATTACTATTGGAACACAACTCAACCGTAATTAGCCTTAAAGGTGCATTGTGTAACTTTTCTGTTGGAGGGTCCACCAAATACTGTTCTCCATGGAGATGTTATTGCTTTGTCTGGATGTTTCGCAGTATGGTATTAAACCTTTCTATCTTCATGGAGACCAAACCAGACCAAGTTACAGGTCAGATCTGTGGGGAGAAAACCCTGCTCACACTCAGAATGCTTGTTTTTGTAGGTATCTTTGAGTTATTTAGAATGTATTATATTTCTTCTCTTTGTTATTTTATTTTATTGTGACGTGTGAACTACTGTGTCCAAAACATTTCCCTTGTGGATCAGTAAAGTTTGTTTAAGTCTAACTCTTATAAAAGCACCTGTAATTTATCAAATGTAAGGTGGAGCTGTTTAATGTCATATCATAGAACATTTCATAAGATGGATATCAGAAAAATACTTTTCAATTCCGTTGCCTGTTTGTTCACTTTTCAATAAGCCTCGGCCACATTCAACTTCAATCATATATCAGTTACATGGCTGATGTGTTTTGTCAAAGGGCACAATGGCAGTAAAAAATGCCTGTACTTTTCTTAACAATGTGGTGAAGTGAACATTTTATTTATTTCTCAATAGATATAATTCCATCTTAATTTCAAACTGTCATAAAGTTTAGCAGTTTGTTTTCTGTCTATTGTTGATTGCTTAAACCTGTTAGTACACGCTGTTTTGATTCCCAACAAACTCCACTCTAATCATTATAAAAAAAAAACGCCTCCTCTGAGTCATTCTGTTTTTTCACACACTAACCTTAACATTGCCCTGTATTCACCTGCAGCAGCAAAACTCAGTCACCTCAGCCTCTTTCTCTCTTTCTCTTCAAATCTATAACACTCACCCTTTGCTGACACTGGTCTAAATATGACCCGACTCATTCATTTGTGCCTGTGTCGGATATTCATACTTTGCACTGACATCATTCTGGGGGTGTTGTACATGTATCTCTAATGGCTGAATGTTTGGGAGCTGCCAAGGTGATGCAAAACACATATATTAGCAAACACTGTCAAAAAAGCTGTAAGATCATCTGAAAACTCAAGAAAAAGCACAAAATGGATCTAAACGCCACATTTTCAAGAGCATTCATGGTCCCGTTTAGGTGTTTGATTTTCAGCAAAAAGGTGAGAGTAATTATCAGTAAAACTTTTCACTAATGCGAGCCAGATTGTGACTATAAATCTTTATGAGAGACTAGTTAGACGGCAAAAGTAAAACATAGATTAAAGTCTAAAAACCTTCAGACAGAGCAGAGCCTACAGTTAGCATCACACCCCAGGGAATGTTGTGGTATCAATATTAGGGGTGTGCAAAAATATCAAAATATCGATATATCGTATAGTTTAATGTGATGATACAGTAATATCGTGGGCTGCTGTATCAATATATCGCCAAGAGTATTTTTTATTATATTTTAACACAATTATTTGACATTTTCACTGTTTTGAGGATTAAAATGTTTGTGTTTCATATATGAATTTGCACATGAAATGGTTTAACAAAGACATTTAGTATCATTTATTGAACCATATCGAATTGTTTTTGAAATATATCGTAATGTAAAGTTTGACAGTGGCCTATAACGACTCTTTGAGGATATTACTGAAGGTGCCGAGGTTCTGTAGCGCCAGTGAAATGTTTGTAAATTGTGGTGCGAGACCCTGTGTCGTCACAATCAGATGTTGTATTTATTCATGTGTAGAGCCATGAATCTGAGCAATCAAAACACTGAAGCTCTAGTGTGTCCTGTGAAGACCTCTGTCAGATTCACCTCTGAGCTGTGGAGACACTGGTGCTCTTGTCTGTATACATTATAACATGCACTGTATTTATATTTTTACTCTTACTATTTTCTTTTTAATACTATGAACCAGATATTCTATGTTCTTAATAAAGATTTAATTGAACTGAATTGTAATATTGAATTGAAAGCTCACTGTATTGACATATGTATCGTATCGTGGCCTGTGTATCGAGGTATGTATCATATCTGCAACTTCTTAATGATACCCAGTCCTAATTAGTATTGATAAAAAAAATTAATGCTTCAGTATTTTTGAATTTTCTTTTAACAGATCATGCAGAAATGTATTAAAATGCGCAAAAAATTCAGACATATCATTGTTGAAGTAAAATTCTTCTTTTTAACCATCTCTTTTGTACATATTTCCTGCAACAACATCATTATCATCCTGTATCGCCACCTCTAGATACATTTCCTCTTCATGTGCACTTTACCTGAGCTCCCTGGGGTATGAGCCCACAGTTGTCTGGTCTGCGGCTGCCGTACGTCACCCTGTAACCAGACTGGACTAGACGCTGGCCCAGGGAGCGTCCCAGGTCTCCCGTCCCAAAGATACACAGGGTCTCCCCAGCTGCTCCTCCTCCTGCGCCCATGGGAGCCAGAGGAAGACACTCAGGATTCAACACTTTCAATTCTCCATTCATGTTATCGGATGACATGTCTGACAAAACCGCTGTCTCCAGCCGTGATAAGCGATGCGTTGAAATATCCAGATTTATGAGAGATGGATTTAAAAGGTCTTGGAGGTTTTCAAAATGTAGCCATCTTTGTCATAGCACTTTTCCTCTCACAGACTGACGGCGTTCCCTGTGCTCTGTAGTATTTGTGTTGGACTTTTCCCCTCCCATTTTAGGACAGGGTAAGGTTTGAACTCAACTGGGAAAGTCCACAACCAAAATCAGGGAGGTTTGACTGTCAACACAAGCACACATGTCCTTGAACGGATTTGTTTTCTTTGTGCGCTGTACCTCCCCCCAAGATCTAAGTGCGGGTGTGTGTGTGTTACACTGGGAAGAAATCACTGGTGGCCTTATTCTTGGAAAGCAGATGGTAATTTGTGGTGGATTATGCAAGCTGGGACAAGAGCCGCCTTATTCAACTTTGTAACTGTGATTTCTGGTTTTGCCACACTACCGGAGGAGAAATGTACATAAAGTGTGCCAGAGATAGAGTTTAATTGGGGACAGGGGAGAAGCTGGGAATTTTTCATAGTCAAATCCAGTAAGTTAAAACATCAGTGTTCCCAAAACATTCATACCATATTGTGCAATGTTCCTGGGCAGATTGGAACACAGAGATATCAGGAATTAGTAATAGACCATAGTAACATTGCCCAACAAGTAGGTCATTTTAAAAAAAAACTGTAAGTGAAAGTATTTCTGTAGTTAGAAACTCAAACTACAAATTACACTGTAAAAAAAATAAAAATAAAAAATACTCATTTTAGCTTACTCTTGTATATCAATATTAAAAAAGAATGATACTGAAATCAGGACTACACTACATGGTAATTATACACATTTTACACTGTTTTTTGTTCTAGGATATAATGTTGTTCGCTCATCAGAAACATACCTGGAGTTGTGTTTTGTTTCATTCACACATGTTTTACACACCCCCTGCATATTTGGGCGGAGTTATTCTCTTAAACATCACAATGTGGAACAGAACATTCTGAACTTTGAAAATCTAACCAGACTAATAATAAAACTTACACAAACATGTGTGAATCAAAGAGAACACAATTCCAGGTTTGTTTTTAAGGAGGTAACAACATGGTTTAAAGCTCAGTAGAATCCATTTTGCATAATTATAGGACCTTTAAAGAAAGTACTGTTAAGTAGTGTTGAAAATGACATTGCTTTGTGTGTGTGTTTTTATGTAATTAGGCCCGAGCGCCAGCGGCTGGAGAAGTTTAAATTATTATTATTACTCTTATGCATATGTTTGGTAGCCTGATACATCAGCCAGTTTTACTTTGTTTCACTTCATACAAACCGTCTGACCTCTCAGCATTGGAATTCATTCGCTCGACGGTAGGCGGGTACTTTTGCCATTTAACTAATTGTTGCTATTTGGTAGTCACGTACGTAATGTGCTGCTAACGGGGCTAACTTGTATATTAAGCGTTTCTTAAGTCCCATAGGAAGAAGGGCAATAACGTCTTTCCCCTTTCTCATTCTCTTTATTCTGGCTTTAAATCCTCAATCTCAGGAATCGTTGACAACACAGACTGTATGGCTCTTCGCTGATTGGCTGGTGCCCGAACTTGCACTTCCAGGGTTTTTGTGAATCGTCTATTGTATACTGATTCCTGACCTAGTCGCTGGAGAGAAATGAGATTGAGCGAAGGCACTAGGTGGCGCCAGCCCGGCTATACATATGGTTCTTGTACAAAGGATGTAAAGTTGTTATTGTTTAAATCATATTGTACACTGCCCACCTCTGGATTAATTACAAAAAAGCCAGTTTGCAAAGACTGCAGGTGCCCATAATGACGCTTTATGGTGCTTTATGGCCACGATGGACAGAATGCAACTGAGATGAGACATCAGTCCAATATGTGAAGACACTGGTATGGTTGTCTTTTAAAAACATAAATATTTTGTCACTGTCTTTGTCTGTTTTAAAAATGGACCATGAGTCTGGAATAAAGATGATGATGATGATGATGATGATGATGACTTAATTATTATCAAGCCTTTTTCTTAGAATCAAATTTGAATTTAAAATTCCAGTAACAGAAAAACATAAATCCTGAGTTTATTCCAGGCTCATGCCCAGACAGATCATTTGCTAAAAGTTGACTTATTACAGCTGTACCACTAAACTCTGTTCAAACATCTATCTGTCCCAAGTCTAGGTCACAGTTTGCACAACACAAAATGCTGGAATGCTCCCTCCCCCTTTTTCTGTTTCTGCTACAATTCCCATTATACGACCCTGCCATAAGCGCTTTGACAGGTGCGGGCAACAAAACACAGCGGTTATTTTTCAGCGCTGGAACAATGCTTATAATGTGTCACTAATGCATTGGTCAATAGGTGATTCAAGACCGCAAATTACACTCTACCCGAGCCTTGTGTTGCCCCTGTGAGTAATTAATATCCATAGACCTCAAAGTGCAGGCCTTCTTCTTTTCCCTGTAGTCCAGAATAGCAGCAGGATTCAAGGTTGAGGTGAACCACTGACGCTGTAGCTGTAATTACTGCCTCAGCTCACTGCATTTACCAAGAGTGTTTGAGAAATGTTTGTTCTTTATCAGACACAGGCAAGTTACAATGTAGAAGACCGAGCATGTGCGTGGAATAAGGGCAAGTTTAGTTCATATATCATGAGTTATGTTTGGTGCAATCTTGAATTTGACGTCAGAAGAAAGAAGCCATGTAACGTTATTGTTTTTGAAATAAAAAAAAAAAAAAAAACACATGTTAAATCTTAAAATTATTGGTTTAGGTGGGGTTAGTGGGATGGGAGTTAAAAAAAAAAATAAAATCTTACAGAAAATCTTACAGAAATACCTATAAGACTAGAGTTACTGTCGACCGCGAATATTGACTAAACACATGCTTTTCTTTAACATTTTCCTTAACATTACCTTTTATTTTGTAACATCATAAGCGATAAACTTTTGTGCCTTTGTTAACATTATTATTAGTTTGTAGGACCATAAACGAAAACAAAAAAAAATCCTTACATTCTTTCATTCTCATTGTGGTTTATTTTGTACGATCATAAACGATAAACTTTGGTGCTTTCTTTAACATCATTATTGGTTTGTATGATCATAAATGAAAAAAACAAAAAACAAATCAAAGCTGGCATCTTTAAAAAAAATAAAAAATAAATAAATAATCTGAAATAACAAAACTATTGTGATTGTATTTGAGGGGTTAGTTTATGGAACAACCTGAGTGATGAGTATAAAGCATTATGTTTTAAAAGATATAGATCTCCGGAATGAATGAATCATGCATTAAATTGTGTTTGTTTTAATTTATATTTTGTCTCTTATATGTACAGTTGTAAATGCACACTTTTTGTTCATGTGCTGCTATCTTTTCTTTCTTAGATTTCTGTTATTGTTTAACAGGGTTTGATACTTTTGCTTTTGAGTTGCTTTTCTCGTGATTCATGTAGTTGTGGTCTGTTTTGTTTTTGTTTTGTAGTGCTGCAAAATGACCCAATAAAAAATACCTAGGAAAAAAAAAGAAAAAAAGATTGGTTTAGTATTAGATTAAAACATTTACTATATTAATCTTGTGTCTTAAATGTGGGGTATGTGAGAATTTTAATTTCAAATTTCAAAAACATGACCTACACTAATAGTAAAATGGAATTATTTAGTTGAGTTAGTTAAGAGAAAAAGTTAAATAACGCTAAATAACTAAACATTTTTCAACAATTCCATATATCTTACTTCATATATTTGATGTCTGTAAGCATATCAACTGTAGAAAGTAGTACACATACAGAAAAAAGGGTGAGGGTGAGTCCAAACTTTTGACTGGTACTGTATATTTCCGCAGATAAAAGGTCAACTCAAATTCAAAACTTCAAATCATATACAGCTTTTACTGATAACAACTCTAATGCTGATTTATTATTAAAACATAAACTGACTAACCAGCTACGCTCTGAAGAAGTCATGAAAAAATAAATCTTCGTTCAGTTACGCGGACAGAGAGCATGCTGAACTGTGTGCCAGTTTTACTTTCATGTGGATAGACCAGTAATTACAGAGATAATTGGGCAGTTTAGAATGTCATATGAAATTATGATGGGTTGATTATATGGTATTTTCATGAGAAATATGCAAGGCCCCTGAATTCATTACATTACAACTATCTGCCTGTGCAGTCATTTTTACCTGCCCCTTATTATATTCATAGAGAATGTTGTAATGGCCTCTAAACCCACCAAGGAATTAAAAAACAAAACAAAAACAAAACTAATATGCAATGGACTTAACGTGTAATTTAATGATTCATATATGTTATTTTTACAGTGTTGCAAGATTTCTCTGATAACTTGTGTGGTTGCATAAGGTTGAGAAAAAGTACTTTCACTTGTACTTGATATTTTCAATTTCTCAGTATATTTTGAATAAACCCAAGTGTCTGTATGTTAATCCTTCCAGCAATGCCAATCTTGATGATATGAGAAAAAATAAATAAATAAATAAATAGCAAAAAGAGAAATTCAGTTTGTAAGTTTCGCAGCTCATCCAAGCTGCTTCTTCATTTCTAGTCAGAATGCTGGTGGACACTTCCTTACATCTGCCTGAAGTTAGGAGCTAACTACACTGAAACTACTATGAAACTAACACCCTACTTGTTTACAGTTTCTGTAGACCTATTGAAGTTGCACTGAGTGTGGGGTCATATTAGTATAACAATTTAAGGCCATAATAGGTGCTATAACACCTCTGGGCCTGACCTGGCTATCCCTATTGTTTTCTTTGTTTCTTCTGATTTAGGTTTGAGGATGAAGTTTGTAAAGAGGAGACAAACGATGTCTGATTCTTCCATTTCTGTTCAAGCAAGGATTCTCTTTCTTAACAAAAATACCCCATTTAATCATCCTCTCAAATCAGTTCTTTTCTCTGGCTAAGATCTGTACCTCACTGTCCTCAAAGGAGTGGCCTGTGTCTTTTAGATGGAGATGTACAGCCGACTGAAGTCCACTATTGCTCACTCGTCTGTGTTGGTACATCCTGTTATGAAGTGGCTGTTTTGTTTCTCCAGTGTAGCGTTCACTGCGGTCTTCACCACACTGAATGTTGTAGACCACATTGTTTTGTTTGTGGCTCGGTGTTTTGTCCTTTGGGTGGGCCAGTCTTCTGTTTTAAAGTGATTGTAGGTTTGAAATAGACTGGGATCTCATGTGGTCTGAAAATCCTCTGTA